GTCGGCGCTGCCCACTGCAGCAGGGCTGGTGGGGGCCCTCCTGAGGAGGGGGTCGGGGCAGCAACAGCAAACTGTGACATCTGGGTTGCTGGTTGCTCACTGGATGCTCTGTGCTGTGCTGGGAGCTGCCCCTATGTGGGTCCATGGGTTGGGGTGCTCGTGGCTGCAGTCCTTCCCAGCAGCCCCCAATGCTTTGCTTTCTGGATTTAGCTCCTCTTCGTGCTTCAGGACTTTCTGTGGAATGCTATTCATTGCAGCCACAACCACAAGTTTTAATTTGGAATTTTACTACAGCCAAAGAAGACTTCTAAAAGCAGCAGCCCCGCTCTCCCCCCTGGCTCAGCCCCACGAGCTCATTGTTTCAAACCATCCCAGAAGCAAAATGAGCCTTTTGAGCTCGCCTCTGGAAAATGCAATGAGCTGTTCTTACTTCTTGCTTAATGAAGAAGGTAAAATGAAATCCTAGGATTCACATTATGGAAACGGTGTGGATTTCTCTATAGGGTTGCTCCTTAGTTGAGCTTAGCTTTGTCACTGGAGACTTTGTAGCTGTAAGGAAGGCACAGGGAAGCTTTGCACTTGCAGCCTCACCAGGTGCGTGTCGTTAGAGGGAGGTGCGGCGGTTGGGGCTGATTGCCTTACAGCGGGCACCTGGGCCGGGGGGCAACGGCGGCACTCGGGCGGAGGCTGCAGCGTAGCGGTTGGACAGGCGGTGATGTCAGCTGGGCTGGATTGCTGGCACCTGGGCTGCGTGCTGGGCACCCACGTCCTTTTCTCCGTCTGTCCGTCCATGCAGGCAGCCTCCTGAGCCGCTCCGCCGCTACGAGCCCCCCTCCGGCTCCTCGCCAATCCTTCCTTCGGAGAAATGCGGTGTCCCGGCCGCTGCTGGCGGTGCGGGGCGAGGGGCGGCGCTTCCCGGAGCTGCCCTCACCTGCGGGGGGCGGCGGAGCGCCCCGCGTCCAGCCCCGCACGGAGCCCCGCCCGCTCGCTGCGCCTTTGTGGGATTTTTGTTGGTATTTTCCTTTTTTTTTTTTTTTTTTTTTTTTTTGCCCCCGCAGCCCCCCCGTTCCCCCCCCCCCTTGCTGGGGGACCCCACTGTTAAAAGTTTTGGGTTTGGTTTTTTTTTTTTTTTTTTTTTGGTCTTTCCGTTTTACCTCTTTGACTTCCCAGCATGAGGCAGGAACACTTTCGGATGCTGCTGTGGTGCTTCGGTTTTTTGGGTGGCATCCCCGGTGCTGCCGGCAATCACTACCGTTACCAATGGAGGAGCTGCTATCCTTGTTACCTGGGGCGCGGGGGGTCCAGCATTGGCCACACCGAGATGCGACCAGGTAGGTGCTGGGCTCAGCCCGGGGGGGGGGGGGGGGGGGGTGGTGCCCCCCGGGGGCGGGTGGTGGGGGGCTGGGTGCTGCCCTGGGGCTCGGTAGCTGAGCCCCAAGGTGGGACCCTGGGCTGGCAGCAGTTGGGTTTGCATCCCACTGAACTAAACTGCACATCTGACCACACTCGTGTAGCAGCTTGGATATAGATAAGACTGTGAGTCTTATGTGGCAGATTTATTCTGAGAAGTGATTTCTGGCAGGGGGGGGAGAACTGAGAGTTTCTATCAGTTGCTGTGCAGTTACGTGGCTTGGTTTGGCATGCTGGAAAGTTGAGTATTTGTGTGATGATCGGGGGGGGATATCGGGTAAGGAATCATTTCTGTAAGCTCTCATATATCTGCCTCCTCATCCCTGTGTGTTCAGCTGGCTTAGCAGCAGGCAGGGGTTGAGGCTGCCTAAAGATGTTGGAAAAAGTGGAGAGTATGTGAAGTCTGTTGAGGGCTTTTGGTGCTTGTGGGTAGTGCAGATATCAAGGAATGCGTTGTCTTATTGTGAGATGATCCCAATAAACGAATGCTGTTGAACATAAAAGCATTATCAGTACACGTGTGAGATGTGGAAGAGCTCAGGAAATGTGGAATTGTTATTGCTTGGAGACCAGACCACAGAATCACAGAGTTCACACTGCAGCTGGAGTTTCCATCCCTGGCTGCATTAACTCTAGTTGCTTGTCCAAGGTGACCAAGCTTTGCCTGGGGTACAAATTTCCAACCCCAAAAGCAAAGTGAGCCCAATGAGCTGCTGCAGGGGCATCTCGTGGGCAGCCTCCTTGTGCAAACAGGGAATGAAGAGGTGCTTTGTGTAATGGTGGTGCACACATAATTGGAGTCTCGAGTGCTTTAAAATCTGTTCTGTGTACACAGCGCTCTGCTGGATCCCTGCATTCGTGTTGAGTGGCTAATTGCAGTGCTGTGGGTTGTGTCCTCCTGCAGCCAACCTGTAAAGGAGAGATCATTACTCTCTGCTGGGGTCCTGTGCGAAATCATTGCACCTGGAGGCTCCTATTCCCTCTGTGATGCTATGAAGCACTGCAGAACCCAGCCCAGCTGTGTGCTCTCCTTTAGTTCTGTTGCTTGCAGCAGGTGTGAGTGTCTTGGGCAGTGCCTCCTGGTTTGGGCACCGTGGTTTGCTGTGCTGCCTGTGTTCCCTGCCACGTGCTGCTCGCACAGCCCATGCGTGGGGTTGTGTTCTATCCTAATGGCGGAGAAGTGGGATAAAGTGAAGCTGAGAAGAAGGGTTGGAGCAGATGGCTGCAGTGGCAAGTTGGGAGCCAGCTGCTGGCTTGTTGTTACGTGCATCTCTGTTCCACCCTGAGTCATGCGCAATTATCGGCACCATCAGGAGACTGAAACGTGAGCAAGGCTTGTAAGGGAGAGCTGTGCTTGAAGGCAAAAGGAGGTGAGGTGAGGACAAAGGCAGTGCTGGAGGCAAGGTAGCTGCTGGTCCCTCTGCACTGCATCCGACTGTCATAGCATCCGTTCCTGAAATGCTCTTGGAAACTTCTGCTGCTGAGGTTGGTGCAGGGGTTGTGTGTGGATAAGAGCTATAAGCACCTCCGTTCTCTGTAGGAGCAGCTGCTGTGGAAGTCCAACAGGCTTGGAACAACCCTGTGGAGCTCAGGTTTGGTGTTTTTTCCCATCCCCTACAGCCTGGCACCAGGCTGTGTCCCATTGCTGAGCACCCCAGTGTGGTTGGGTTGTCTCCTTCCATCCTCACCGCTTGGTGAAACTGCTGAAAGCAGCTCTAATGAACTGGTACTGAAAAGATAAAGTAGCCGAATCCCACATGGGCTCATCTTGGTGGATTTTAATTAACCATTTCCCTGCAGCCTGGCTCAGTAATCAGGCTAATTGCTGCAGGGGTTACAGCCTGGTTAGCTGGAGAGCAAACCCTTGCAGTGTATCGGCTGCCGCTGCCTGCAGCTGGGATTCCTCTCCTCCTCCTCAGCCTCTCACAGGAGATAAACTGCCCCTGAACAAAATGCTCTGTAATCTGCAGAGCTGCTGTTGCTGCTTTCCTTCCCCTAACACAGAGCTGCTGTTCAGGATCAATCTCTGCGCTGCCCCACCAGGGAGCTGTGTGCGGTTGGGCTGTGCAGCATCACAACCCCTGCACTCTGCCCTTCCCCTGCTGTCCCACAGCAACTCTGTGGGGTCGGGAGGAGTGAATCCCATTGGGGGACACTGCTGAGAGCATCGATGCTGCTGCTCCACTGCACCCGTGTCGGTGTGGAGAGCTCCCATAACCTTACACAGACAGGGGCTTTCCTAACCCCGTGCCAAGTTCTGCTTCCAGCACTCGCTGTGTTTGGTTTTGGCACTGCTTTGGGGCGTTTTGGCCGTGCTGCTGCCCTACCAGTGCTGGTTGGCACTGCACTGTGCTCCTGGCAGGGCTGCTTGCTGCCCGCTCAGGAGAGAAGTCTGCGTGCTTCTCACTTCCCTTCCTTGGCACGCTAATTCCAACCAGATTTTGTCAGTTCTCCAATAGGAAAATCGCCTCGGTGCGTCATGAACCGCATCGCGTGGAGTGGAGCGCTGCCATCGCTGTGCTCCCAATGCCTTGTGCCAATGCGGCGTGGCCCAGGGGGGTGCACAGATCCTGTCCCCATTGGACCCAGTGCCATCGCCTTCTGGCTTCGGGTTAGAGTTGAAGGGAAGTGGTAGAACTGAAATTCAGACCAGAGAACTTTGTTATTCCACCTCACTTACACAGACCTCAGGCTTTGTGGTCTTTAGCCAACTCAGAATGGAGGAGGTTGGTCCGCAATAGGGTGATCACCAACCTGCACAGCTCCAATGCCTGCACCTTGCACACCCTCTGTGCGTGCAGGGTTTCTCCTCTTGTGCTGATTCTTTGACTCTTTCCATCACATATTGGATCTCTGGTGAGATTTACGTTTCTGCCCAGCTCTGGAAATGAATCCTAGTATTAAAGGCGATGTAAGAGTTGTGAAAATTTGGTTGGGGTTTGGCAGAAGGATTTTCTGGCACAGGGACGGCCTTTTGTTCAAGGGCACGTGGGCTGAGCAGTAGGAGCTCCATTGGATCGTGTTGGAGGGGCTGGGAGCTGTGGTTGGGATTCTCACCTTTGGACACCAATCCTTACATGCTGCCTCTGCAGCTCCCCATTCACTTTGCATCTTTCCCCCTCCCTCCAGCCCTTCATATTCAGCAGTGGCTCTCACCATTCAGGTCACAAGCAGACCATCCATTTGTGGTCCAGATGGATGGATCTACCTTCAACAGACAGAGAGGGAATGCAAAACACTGCTGAACCCACAGCCTTGAGGGCAGATGGCTATTGGGAAGTACTGCAGCAGTGCTCATGGCTGCCCTGGTGTTATGGTGGTGCGCCTCCATCTGGGAAAAGGGACTGTTGGAAGTTGAGCAAGAGGAAGGATGGTTTACACTGATTGACAAACAAGATGCATTTTTTTCTAATTGCATGCTTGTCCTTGAAATCTCTTAAATCACTTGGCTGCTTAAATTTGATGGAAATAGCAGTGCTGTTCCTGATGCATTCGTTCTTCGAATCTGGAGCCACTCAGCAGAGGATAAATAATTCTGACTTCAGATACTGTCATGCCCACTTCTCTGACGTTCTTTTTTTCTTCTGCAGATGTTGATGAGTGCCAGGTTCACAATGGGGGCTGTCAGCACAGATGTGTGAACACCTTTGGATCCTATTACTGTGAGTGCAAGCCGGGCTTTCGCCTGCACACAGATGGCCGAACCTGCATTGGTAAGTCAAAGGTTTTTGTGTTCCTTGGGAATGCCTACTTCTTCACAGCCCTACCTGAAAGTGTGTGCTGTTGTACATGAAGTGGTTGATGTTGGCTTGTGCTCTTGCATCATGGCCCCTTTCCCAGATAGCAGTGATAGGATGAGAGGGAACAGCCATTAGTTGCTCCAGGGGAAGCTCAGGTTGGATATAAGGAAACATTTATTTTCCAAAGGAGTGGAGAAGCTTTGGAACAGCTGCCTTGGGAGGTGGTGGAGATTCCAACCATGGAGATGCTCCATGTAGCACCTGGGGATGGAGCCTGGTGGACGTGGTGGGGTGGGTTGGGGTTGGACTTAATGCTGGCATGGCTCCTTTGGACCAGCAGAGCTGCACTGAACACTGATGGTTTTTGTTCCTGACACTTCTGTGATAGCAATACACATCTATGTGTGTACATGCCCTGCTGTCAGCACAGCTCGGTGCTGGCCCATTAGGGCAGTGGTGTCGAGGGATGGAAGTAAACATCTTTTTCCTGTAAAAGCTCGGAAGAGGGCTGTGGATCAGCAGTTGTTTCCCTGCATGATGCTCAGTGCAGTGCTGGGGTGGCTGCAGGGCTGGCTCATGCCTGGCCCCTTCGTAGTTGGTGCTGCAGACAGTAAAGCAAGGCACAACGCAGGGGGTGAAGCAGCACGGTCTTTCAGAAGTTGCCCTGGCACCTCTAAAAGTTGTTAAGGGTCTGCTCAGCAGCTTTGGTTGTCCACAGCTCTGCAGTGCGAGGTCCTGCATTGCCTTTGTTGTTCTGTTAGAGTGAATCTCTGATGATTTGAGTACAGAAAGGAGAACAGGAAAACAGAGCCTGAAAGTGAAATGGAGCAAAAAGAGCCATTGGACGTCCTGAGATCACCCCTCTTTATCAGAACCACATGGCAGGAGGCAGTGAGTTGACATCTTTGGGCCTTCTCCGAGGTTCCAGAGTTGGGGGAGGGACTACAGGGCCAAAGCAAAGAGTTTAATCTGAGCCTCTTGCTTGTGTTGGCCGGCAGAAGGGGGAGATGGTCTGCATTAACACAGCGTGGCTCTGGAAATTGTCTGAGGTTGGAATAAATCGGGTTGGGATTACATGGCGGAGCCCTCTTTGTATTGAGAGTGAAGAACGAAGAGATCTCGCATTTAGCAGGGGTTTTTGTCGTGCCATAAGGGTGTGTGTGGGCTTGGTCTACGTGATGGGACCCCACTGGGATGGGAAGGTGGTGCAGATGGGAACGTGGGGATCCCACAGCAGAGCAGCAGAGCTGTGGGTGCATCCATCTGCTGTGTGCACTCCTGTGCCACCCAATGTCCCGAGTGCAGGTCCTGCAGGGCCAGCCTCTGTGCTCTGCTTGCAGACGATGAAACCTCATCTGCAGAAAATCTGTCTGAGCTCTAATTACCAAAGGCTGCACGATGCACAGGATGACACTGGGTTTGGCAGCGGCGGCGCAGAAAAGCTGAGCTAGGAAAAGCATCTGGGAATGGAAATATTTTTAGAGTGGTTCTGTAAACAAAGAAAGAAAAGGAGCAGTAATTAGAACAAGGGCTGCGGGCTGTGCTGTGCCAAGAGCCGGCTGGGAGACCCCGAGCACATGGAACAGCACCCAAAGTGCTGTTAGTGTGTTTTGTTTGTTGTGCCTCGGTGTTCCTGCTCTGGAATGGGATTTGTTCCTCTTACAGCAAAACCAAAGCCCTGGCCCGTGCACTGCACTGCTCTCTGCTTGTCCCTGTACAGCAGAGTGTGCTGGCAGGGCTGTGCTGCTGCTCCTATTGCCCACAGTGCCACGTGGAGCACATGGGCTCCCACTGTCTGCAAGCCAGGAGCACGAGGCTCCCGTAGGGTCACTGGGCTCTAAGAACACATTGCTGAAGGCAACCCAAAGGAAATGGTGTTTTTGTGTCTAAGTTGCCCTGTTGGAGAGCCTGCAGTGTCCGACCTTACGGCATCTCCATCAGCATCCTCTGCTTAAGTTGTGTTGTGGAGAAGGATCTGAATTTTGGGTTCTTCCACTCTGAAAATTTGTCTTCCAAAAGCATGCAGAGATGGCAGTTATTCAGACTGCAAATTCATGGGATCACTGCATCCTGGGAGGTTATTTTAGATGTAAGATGCATTGGCTGGTTGTAGATCGGCCAAGCATTTTTCCCATAAGGAGGAATATTTTGGCAAGCTTCAGTGTTGTTTTTCTTCCTTTTTTATTTTAATAAAAGCACTCCAAGCACGGCTCCATGATTTATGGATGTTTTAAAATGTACATTATTAAACACTTAAATATAGCAGAAATGTTTGATGACCACCTATCCCTGCCCTATAGCTCTGCAGTCACCTCAGATACTTCTGCTGTCTCCATCCAAATAAATTAAAGGAAACAATGTCAGTGAAGCAGCACAGACTGATAATTCTCACCTCAGCCCTGTGCTGTGTATGGCAGCGTTTTGACCCCATGAAGTCATATTTATTCCCCAAAATGCCTGCTTGTTAATGGAGCTGATCCTTGCTGGTGATGGTTGCCATCGGACACGGGCTGCAGTGGTGCAGGAGCCATCAGTGCCAGCAGTGTTCCTCTGCAGGGACCTGGCTTTGCTGTGGAACCCTCAGCTTCCTTATAGGATTTCTCAGTCAGGACTTGGGATCCTCCTGCAGTGCAAAGAATGGGTCAGAAGTGCAGGAACCTCTTTGGTGACAGAAACCAGGTGGCTGCCCTGTCCACAGTGTGAGACAGAGCAGAGCTGGGAGGGCGCAGTGCAGTTCTGTACAGATGCTGGTGCTGCACTCTGAGTGCCACAAAGCTGCTGCTCCTTGCTTGCAGCACTTATGGCAGCAAGATATGCCCATCTTCTGCTGCACTTCACCCCTTGGGTGCTTATCCCACAGAGCAGTCTGCGCTATTTTAAAGCTAATTAATCATAGTGAGCTCCTAAAGAGGAGGGGAGGGGAAAGAAAAAGATACTCCACGCCTTTGGCTTTGGGATGTGTCCTCGGCTGTAACCTAAGCAAACCCTCTGTTTTCTGCCTGTGTGAAATCCTCTGGGTAGGAGAGTGCTTTGCACAAGGCCCCCAGCAGTGCTGCAGGCAGGGAGCCCAGCCCCCTTCCTACAGAGCATCCCTGAGCAAGTGCACCCAGCTCGCCACTTCTGCAGCAGGCTCACAGGATGGGACGTGTCACACCAGGTCAAAGCGGGGACATGCAGGAGGGTGCTTGAAATCCCTTCCCCTTGAACGCTCCCAGAAGAACCGATGGTGCCTGCTGGCCTCGCCCTGTGTAATTGCTGTCTTTTGCATGGCTCGGAGCCAGGAGCCTAATTTTCCATGTTATTTTGTGACAGTAAAATTGGAGCACGCCTGAGTGCAGCTCTCTGAGCAGCAATTAAGTGGCATTAGCTGTGGCATTGGCTGTGGCACTGCATTTGCACCATCTGAGCAAAGCTATGAGATTTCGGCGCTGCTGTAGCAACGATCTGCCGTTAGCCCACCTTGACAACTTAAATAGCTTTATGACTTCAAACCCTCAGATGGTGCTTTTGGATGATGTTTTTTTGTTCTTTCCCACCCCCGTACCAGCACTGAACTCGTGTGCAGTGAACAACGGTGGCTGCGAGCACGACTGCGTGCAGCTGACAGCCAACCAGCACCAGTGCCGCTGCCGCCGGCTGCACCGGCTGCGGGAGGATGGCCGGCGCTGCGCCCGTGAGTGCCGGGCAGTGGGGGGAGGGGTGGCAGCCCTACGTGTGGGGCTCTGTGGGTCATTTCTGCTTCTTTCGACCCCAGTGTGGAGCCCCTGTGCTGAGAGGAATGGGGGCTGCATGCAGCTCTGCCGTGAGGTCCGGGGAGCGGCGCGCTGCGAGTGCCACCCTGGATACCGGCTGGGTCCAGATGGCAGAGCCTGCCAAGGTGAGCTCCTGCGGGGCCAAGCAGCGTTGCCACTGCTTTGGGAATTGATGGGGTGACGCTGAGGGATGCGCCGTCAACACTGTTTCAAGGCTGCTGCTCTTCTGGCTTTTCCCATTTGTAGATGTGGATGAGTGCTTGGCCGGCCTGGCCATGTGTGCACACCGCTGCCTGAACACCCGCGGCTCCTTCATGTGTGCCTGCAACCCGGGCTATGAGCTGGGAGCAGACAGCAGGCAGTGCTACCGTAAGTACTGTGGTGGGATGGGGGGTCTGTGGGTCAGAATGGGGGAAAAAGGAGTGTGGGAGGTTCTGCTGATAAGGAGCACTTGGTACAGCCTGCTGAGAGCGGACCGAGTCACGGAGCTCCATGGGCCGTGGTCAGAGCTGTTGGCTTCTCCCACCAACAGAACTCATCCTCATCTTTAAAGTTACCATTGCACAGGTTTAGATGGTTTACTTGGAGCTGTTTGGTTCCAAATGGGCCAAGTCCAACTCCCGGGGACTGCATTGGATGAGTTTGGTCAGCTGTAGATGTGTAACTGAAGGAGGAATTGAGCTAATGATGTGATCACATCTGCTCCCATCAGGATGAGAAATAAACACAATTGAATGCAAGAGTGAGCCAGATTGCCATATGTTCAGCCAAAGCACATCAGCAGAGACGGCCTGAAGCAAAGTAGTTCAGAGCAATGCAAAGAGCTGTGTGCTGTTCAGGAGCCAAAGCACTGCTGGCACCTCTCTTCCTAAGGGCATGGTTGATCCCACACTGCATGTTCTGCTGCACAAAATCCTGTAGCTCAGTTTCAGTAGCATCCACTTTTGCGTGTAGATGCCTGATTGGTGTTCTTGGATGAGCACACGCTTCTTGCAGGTTTGTTCCCTGCTGTGCCCTGGATGACCACACGTTAGCAGGGAAAGAGAAAAGATTTGTGTGTTGAGATCTGGAAGTTAGCTTTTGGCTGTGGCACAGCCTTTGTTTTCTACATGCGCAGACCCACTGGGGAGCACTGAGCTCCTCTTCTTTCATCTTTCTTGGGCCTGAATGCACCAAAACCTCAAGAATGTTCCTGTAGGCGGCAGCTATTTTTCTGAGGTTCGAGAGTGACTCAGAGCCCATGGTACTTTTAGCCTAAAGAAGCTTCATTAGCTAGGCTGGGGTTTACAAGAACTTTGCCAAGCTGTGAAGACACATGGCTGCTATTGATGCTTGCCTCCTCCATTCAGCCATGTCAGTCACTGCCTTTCCTAGCTGCAGGCATCTGGATGTTTGCAGCACTCAGCTGCTCCCATTCCCAGCTGGCATCCAAACAGCTCTGTGCTGGGAAGGCTGAGCCAACTCTGGTTGGCAGCACATCCTGCAGCTCGTCAGGAATGGGAGCAGCTCTGTCTGCAGTCTGGTTCATCTCAGCTTGACCATGAGCCTGTCCCCGAGGGGCTCCACAGGGTTATTTTTGTACAGTCCTTTCCAGCCCAGTCTATTCCCATCCCTTCCCTGCAGCACAGCACTGCTCTGCTCAGCAGGGCCGTGTACCAAAAGCACACGTAAGGAGTTGGTGCCGTGGCACTGGATGCTGATGGAATTCCTTCTGCAGGGATAGAAATGGAGATTGTGAACAGCTGTGAGAGTGGCAATGGTGGCTGCTCCCATTTGTGCCACCACAGCAGCACTGGCCCCATCTGCACCTGCAACTCAGGCTATCGGCTGCAGGATGACCACAGGACCTGCACTGGTAAGGCGAGGCTTCCTCCTTGTTTTCCCAAATCTATCCCAAGCCACGAGGACCCTCATGTGTCAGCTGCTGTGTGCACATACACCATGAGGCTATCATGGAGCAATGTTAACAACTGCTGCTACCGCCGTGTACTGACACCCAGCACCCTCTGCTTTTATTTAGACATCAACGAATGTGAGGACGGCTCTCACTGCTGCCAGCAGGACTGCTACAACTACCCTGGGGGCTACGAGTGTGCCTGCCATGCTGGGTACCGGCTGCGTGCTGATGGCTGTGCCTGTGATGGTGAGCAGGGCGCATGCGGTGCGGTGTGTGTGTGTTGTCCTTACTCCTGTAGCACCCATCCGTTGGGCCAGCAAAGCTATGGGGCTTTGAATTCGATGACTTCAAGTCAGGCTGCCTCAGATTTGCTCCAGGTCTGAATGCAGCCACAATTTGCACACATCATTTTTTCAGTATTGACTGAGCGTTGCCTGTAATTTCCATCTTGGTGGAGTTGGTGGTAAATACAAGCGTCTGTATAAAGCATGGATGACTTGGGGACAAATGCAGGCTATTAATGAAAAGAAGTTGTTCTGCCTGGTTGTGAGCAGCTAGGCACCTCTTCCAGTCGCTCCCAGTTATAGAGCCATGCAATCACTGGAGTTGGAAGGGACCCTTGAAGGCCATCTGATCCCACTCCCCTGCAATGAACAGAGGCTCTCCATCACTTGGGCAGTCTCCTTCAGCTTTCAGAGCTTTGTGTTACCCAGTGCTGCCACCTGCTCGCTGTCCCCTTTGTGTTTTAGATGTGGATGAGTGCTCCTCCAACAACGGTGGCTGTGAGCACACGTGCCAGAACCAGGCGGGGTCCTTCCAGTGCAGCTGCCCCGTTGGGTACAAGCTGGATGGAGACAGGAAGGGCTGCATCTGTAAGTGCTGCATGCTGGGCACCCTGTGCCTGTCCCCCTGCAGCAGGACCATAGAAACAACCTTACACCATCAGGAGCATCAGAGTGCCTGTCCTGCCCATCCCTGAGGCTTTATAGGCTGTGCAGCCCCTGCTGCAAGTGCCATGCTTAGCCCTGTGAAGGAAGGGAACCAGGATCTGTAGGTGATGTGTGCTTGTTCCAAAAGGACACCAAACTGAAATTCATCCCTTAGTTTTGTTGGGTGGGCAGTCTGCCCCAGTGAATTGGAAAAAGCCAAGTGGGAAGGAGTGGATCACTGCTGTAGAGCTATCAGTGACGTGATGAACGCTGAAGCAATTGTACAAACCCTGTACTGAAGTTCTGGTTTCCCTTCGTTATGGTAGAAGTGCTGTACTGTTCCCCACCCCCAGATGAGCTCTTTTCCATTTTCTCCCTCTGACTTTGTGATCTCTGTGGCTGTTCCCCCAGCTGTAGAGAACTCGGTGGAAGCCCTGGATGCCCAGCGCCCCATCATGCGCCCCGTCCCCCACGTGGCCATCCTGCGGGATGAGCTCACCCAGCTCTTCAGCGACGACTACGAAGAGGAGGAGGAGGAAGAGGTGGAAGCAAGAGGAGAGCACACGCTTTCAGAAACATTCGGTGGGTGTTTCATGGCTGCAGTCCTTATGCTTGGAAGCCTCCAGTTTGAATCGTGGGTGCTGGGTCTGTGCCTGGTGGATGCACGAGCAGCCACAGGCTGTAATGTTGGGGTTGCTGGGGGCAGTCTTGGGGAGGGCATCTCACCGTCTTGTCTCGTTGCAGTCTGTCTGGAGAACACCTTTGGCCACGACTGCAGCCTGACATGTGAGGACTGCCAGAATGGGGGCACCTGCAACGTGGAGGGGACAGGCTGTGAGTGCCCGGCCGGCTGGAGCGGGCTGCTGTGCAACCAGAGTGAGTGGTGCTGCGCATAGACCCTAATGCACCTTATTCAGAGGTCAAACCCACAGTTGTGCATGCTGTTAAAGCTGTGCCCTCTGTCCCACAGCCTGCCCACCCGGAACCTTCGGCAAGAACTGCAGCCAGCTCTGCCTGTGCCAGAATGGGGGCACCTGTGAGCCCACCACCGGCACCTGCCGCTGCCCGCCTGGCGTGGCTGGGATCCACTGTGAGGATGGTGAGAGCCCTTGGGCAGAAACAGCTGTGTTCCATTGGTATTTTTCCCTTGGCAAAGCAATGAGCATCTCTGTCAGGTGTTTGTCATGGGCTTCTTTGGAGCCTTCTGTATTTGCTGGGGTTGGTTTCCCCCCCCCCCATCTGAGGGTGTTCCTTGCTCCCAAAGAATTAAAACCTTTGGGGCACGGAAGCGACGAGACAATGAGGGATTTGGCCACAGATGGAGGGTTAGGATCATGCAGAAGCTGTTACTGAAGGAGGAGAACGTGAAGTAAGGCAGGGGATAGCTGGAGCTTTTCTTTCTGTAGGAAGGAGGTGTTTGAAGGGTGCAGAGAGAAAACAGGAAGGTGAGATTAAAGCAAGCAGTGCCAGGACACCTGGGGAGGGCTGTGCTGCAGCTCTGTGCTGACACAGTGCTTCGTCCGTGTGCTTCTCATGTGGAGAACCCAGTTTTGAGCTGGTACAGGGAATCCTGTTGCCCTTATTGGAGACCCCAGCATCTTCCTGGTCAGACAGCAGTCCTTCCCTCACTGCACCCTGTGCCTAGGTTTGTCTGTGACGACGTACTCCGATTTTGGTATGTGTCTTTCCTGCAACACATGAAATTACAGACCCAAACCGCCTCACCATCCCTATCACCAGGGTGCCCAAAAGGATTTTTTGGAAAGCAGTGCAGAAAAAAATGCAACTGTGCCAATCGAGGTCGCTGCCATCGCATCTACGGAGCGTGTCTGTGTGATCCTGGCCGGTACGGGCGGCACTGCCACTTGGGTACGCCTCTGTTATGGGTGCATGCTGCCTTTGGGCTGGGTGCTGTAACAGAAGGGTCACTCCTGCCCTGTCCTCGTCCCTGCAGCTTGCCCCAAGTGGACGTTTGGCCCTGGCTGCTCCGAGGAATGCCTCTGTGTGCAGCCCAACACGCAGCACTGCGACAAGCGGGACGGCTCCTGCCGCTGCAAGCCTGGCTACCGCGGTGTGCACTGCGAGAGCAGTGAGTGTCCTGATGGATATTGCAAGGCTCCATCCTCCTGAGACCTCTGCTCCTCTTGCTTGCCTAGATTAGGAACTAAACATGCTATCTTTGTCCCCAGAGTGTGAGCCTGGCCGCTATGGGGAGGGCTGCAGGAAGAAATGCAGCTGCTCTCCGGACACGCAGTGTGACCACGTCACCGGGCAGTGCTGGAAGGAGTGTCCTCAGGGCTACCATGGGGAGAACTGCGACCAAGGTGAGATGGTGGGGTTGGAAGTGGCTTCTGATGACCCAAATCTGGGATCTCATAGAGCTGGGAGCTTAGAGAGGGAGGCAGGATTCTTGTGCATAGAGATCCTTATTCAGAAAAGGAAGACAAGCTCTCTCTGCCTCCTGCCCCGTGGGCATCCCTGCTGTTGTAGATGAAGGTGACAGATATCGATCTGTCTTTTTTCCTCCCTTTGATATCCTTTTACTTCCAGACTATCAGTCCCCAGAAGAATGGCATTGTGTTTCCCCTTCTGTTCTTTTTCCTCTGCTGAAGTTCTGTTTGATCTGCACATGGCAGATTCTGTACTCTGTGCACATTAGGACTTAAACTTCTGCCTCTGTATGAAATTCCCACAGCAGTTCCTCTCTCTTTGCTTCATGCTCACCCTCCCTGTTTTCCTCCTGCTGTCAAATTGGGCAGCTTAACTTCTGCTGTAAGAACCCCAAGGCTGTGAGTGGAAGCGCAGTAGGTTCTTGCATCCCATATTGCATCCATTCATTCCAAAGGGCTGCAGCAGCACTGCAGCTCCCGGGTGCTCAGCTGAGGATAGTTAAGAAAAGGAATAAGAAAAGAGCTCAAGCCTGCAGGGGGGGAGTCACAGGAAATAACACAAATATTTGTACAGAAATAGGAGGCTTTTGGCTGTTGTTGGGACCTGGAAATGATTAAAGGGTGAAGACAAACATCTGCCATCAATTAGCACAGAGCAGGAATAACAAAAACTCCACTGTGTCACTCGAAATTTACGAGCTAGGGTGCCTTTTCCTGCGCTAATTGTGAGTGCTGGTGCACGTGTGTCTTGTAGGAACACACAAAAAAAGACCACGAGCGTGGTGTGTGTCTGGGGGCTCGGAGAGGTCTGTAGGAGCTCAGTGGCTCTTGGCCTGTGTGCAGCTCTGTCACCTGCAGCTCTCACTGCTGTTTGCTTGCAGAGTGCCCTGCAGGGCGGTTCGGGGCCGGCTGCCTGCTGCTCTGCTCCTGCAGCGGGGCTCCCTGCGATGCGGTCAGCGGGCGGTGTGTGTGCGCAGCGGGACGGACAGGGCACGACTGCGCCCAAGGTGAGCGCATCTGGTGCTGCGTGACAGCGGCTGGAAGCCACTGTGGAGTGTGGATGTCCTGTTCCTAACGGTTCCAAATACAGTGAGCTGGCCCTGTCCCCAACCCTGCAGCATCTCAGCTGCCCTGCTCAGCTGTCAGCAGTCTGCGTCCCTCGTGCAGCTCCTGCAGGGTGACAGTGGCTGCCAGGTTAGCATGCTTTGCCAGGAGCTCTGCTCCTCAGCAGCAGATGTGAATCTCAAGTTGACATGAGGGCCCTGGCAGGCGAGCACTTAGTGAGGGATGTTTATAAAACAAACACTGAGATGTCTTCACTGCTGGCCGTTTATTCCCAAACAAAAGCATACAAACTAGACAGGGGATCCACTAACAAGAAATTAGGCTTCCCACCTTGCCCTTTTGGTTGTCAGCTCTCTGCATGGGGGTCATGCAGCCCCTTGTCCCTGTCCAAGGGCAATGAGGAACCAGCCCATCTCCAGTCCCAAGCTGAGCCATCACCCTGCTCTGTGCCACTTACCAGAGGCATTGAGCTGCCCTTGTTCTCTCTGATTGCTGCAGCCTGCCCAGAGGGTCGCTGGGGCCTCGGCTGCCAAGAACTGTGTCCTGAGTGTGCCAACAATGGTAGCTGTGACCCTGCCACGGGAGCATGCGTGTGCCCACCGGGCTTCACTGGCAGCCGCTGCCAGGATGGTGAGCATTGGGTCATGGTGGATTCTGGGTCCATGATTGTGAGTGTTGGGTCGTGATAAGTGTTGGGTCTATGGTGGTGAGTGCTGGGTCCGTGATGGTGAACCTTGAGTCATGGTGAGTGTCAGGATTAAGGAGAGTTGGGGTCATGGTGAATGTTGGGTCCACGATGGTGAGCGCTGTGCTTGTGGCTGTGTGTGCTGTGCCCTGGGCTCGCTGTGGAGTTGCAGCTCGTGTCCCTGCCTTGCAGTGTGCCCACCCGGCTGGTTTGGCCAGGACTGCCAGCAAACCTGCAGCTGTGGGAATGAAGGACATTGCCATCCCGTGACGGGGACGTGCAGCTGCGCACCCGGCTGGACGGGCCACGACTGCCGGAGAGGTACAGCGCCTGCATCATCATGCATCGTTCATAGGAGACTCTGAGCTGTGCAGTGCTAGGCTGGGGCTGGCCTCTTTGCCATCCCCGTGCTGTGCCTGTGTTGCAGGCTGTGCCGCGGGGCGCTGGGGCCCAGGCTGTGCCAATGTCTGCGAGTGCAGCAGCAGCACCGGGAGCTGCGATGCGGTGACGGGGCAGTGCGCCTGCGATCCCGGCCACACGGGCAGCCACTGCGAGGAGCGTGAGTGTGTGCTGCAATGAGTTTGGGCTCAGGTTTGTTTCCCAGAGCCCTGTGGGAAGGGTCGGTGCTGTGGCAGTGGTAATTCTGTCCTCGTGATGCCGTCCTGGTGGGTGTGTGGGTGCATCTGTGAGCAGAGGACTCTCGTTTTAAACACGAGGCGGCCATGTCCTTCCAGATCCCTTTTGTTCTAACCTGTGCTCCCACTGCAGCGCAATCCCAAGCATGGTTCCTCAGTGCTCTTTGCTCTCTCCCCAGGGTGCCCAGCAGGATGGTTTGGGTTGGGCTGCCGGCACCGCTGTCAGTGTGAGCATGAGGCCATTTGTGACCACATCAGTGGGGCGTGCACGTGTGCTGCGGGCTGGCGGGGGACCTTCTGTGAGCACTGTGCGTAGCCCAGGGCATGGAGTGATCCTTGGGTGTCTGCTCACCCACTGTGCACCCCTAAGAGCCGTCCATTCTTCTTACAGACCCTCTGGGCTGTTTGCTTTGTTCCCTACAGCTTGCCCGGATGGATTTTATGGCATTGAGTGTCGGCACGCCTGCAACTGCCAGAATGGAGCCCGCTGTGACCACATCACTGGGCAGTGCCACTGCCAGCCGGGCTGGACCGGGCCCCACTGTGCCCGTGGTGAGTGTCCCCAGGGCTGGATCTGACCCCATGCAGCACATACAGCTTTGCTATTGCTCCAACACTGGGTGTGCAGAGCAATTCCCTTAGGGATTTGTCTAATGTGCTGGGATCCCTCTGGCATGATTCAGTTCATGCCTTTTTTTGTTTGTTTGTTTTTGCTGCTGAGAACAGCAGAGCCCCCAGCCCACATCTCACAGCGCTGAAGCACTGATGGAGCTGCTGTCATCCCAACATCTGTTTCCACGCACCATGCAGTGCCAGGTTTTGGCCAGGCTCTGTTTTCTTCATGCCAAGAGGGGGCAGCGTTGTGTGCTGCGTCTATTTAGGTGCCAAGGAGGAAATACCAAATCCCTCCAGAGGGGCTCTATTCTTACACGGCTCTTAGCCAAGCTTTGCAGACTGGAATGGTTCAAAGGTGCTTCAAACCTGGACTGCCCAGCAGCAATCTGGAGCAGACGCAGCCTCACGGAATCCTCTTGGCAAAGGTCCCCAGTTCAGGGGCTGCTCCTGAAGGCTGTGCATGTTGTTGCTGGATCTGACAAGGGCTGGGGATCCTGGCAGAACAGCTCCCTCACAGATAACATGATGTCACGCTAAGGATAACAGTGTCCATGTGTTGGAGCAGCAGCCACACGTAGCGTACTGCTGTGGGTTCTACATGTAGCACCATAAAACCAATGCATGCACGGCCCAAAGAGCAACAACCCATGGGGTCAGGATGGTTGTTATGGTCTGGCTGCTTGCTGGTCTCTCCTGCAGACAGGAGGCACTGCTGGTGGGACTGTGTGATGCCACGCATGCCTGTTGCTAACAGCTGTGTCTCTCCTGCAGCGTGCCCACAGGGCAGGTTTGGGGAGGGCTGCAGCCAGGTGTGCAGCTGCTCCAACAACGCTGCATGTGACCACATCACCGGCCGCTGTCTGTGTGCTGCTGGCTGGATGGGACCCACGTGCCACCAAGGTAATGTGCCCTGTGGCTGCCCAACCTAGCTGAGGGTGCTAGAAATGCCATTGCTTGGGCTGGGCTGCGCTTTTCAATGGCGGTAGTAGATCCAAAAACCTGACGCAGATGATAGCAAGGCAAGATTGCAAGAGACTATCAGCACTTCCCATTCATTCCCACAGACAGGTGCCAAGAGATTGCCCTCTCCTAGTGCAGCACAAGTTGCCCTGGCTCGCAGTTCTGTAGCAGCACAGGGTGAGGGCTTGACTGCTTGCTGCAGTGCCTTCGGGCACAGCTCAGTGCAATTGAGCACGAGAGCATTATTCATGTGCTTAAATGGCTTTTTGTGCTGATGCTCACCATGGCTGCTGCCTTCACACAGTGTGTTTTGGGCTATGTGCCACCACCAGGGCTGAGACATTTCTGAGAGATAAGGCAGCCCAGTGGGGCGTATAAATTCAGTCCCCCTCTTAGCAGTGGTGGGACGGCGGAGGCTCAGAAGGCACCACGTGCTTTTCTGTTCCTCTCATGGTTGTCCTATGTGTGGCCGTTTGTTCCATCACCTCCAGCCACAGGCTTCCTCCTGCACTCCATTACTCAGCTTGGCACTGGGTTGAGGGAAAAAGGGTGCTTTAGGGTTTGGTTTCAGGTTTAGAGAATTTAGGATCCTCATTCCACGCCCTTCTGTCTTTGGGCACGTCACTGGAGGCTCAGCTTTGCCTTTGGCACACACCTGGGATGGATTTCTGATTGATTGCCTTTTGGTTTCCCCCCAGCATGCCCAGAGGGTTTCTATGGGATGGGCTGCTACCAACGCTGCCTGTGCCAGAATGGGGGGACGTGTGACCCCGCCACAGGGCACTGCACCTGCCCAGTGGGATGGACCGGGCTGGCCTGTGAGCTGGGTAAGGACACTGCCAACAGCATCAGGACATGGGCTCTGCCACCAGCCGGTCCCATTTTGGGGTGGTTTGCCTTTGGGGTGACAGCTCTGCCTTTTGCTCTCTCCTAGCGTGCGCTGACGGGCATGGGGAGGGCTGTGGGCAGCGCTGTGCCTGCCTGAACGGGGGGGTCTGTGACCTGCAGGGACAGTGCCAGTGCCCACCTGGGTGGAGTGGGAGCATCTGTGAGAGCCGTGAGTAGGGGAGGGGGGATGTGGGGGTGCGGGAGCGGGGCCTGCTCAGTGCAGAGCTGAACGGCTGGACTGCAGCAGCTGGGAGGCTCGGGGGTGCCATGGTCAGGGGGGGTACCATGGCTTTGTGGTAAGTGCCGTGGTTTTGGGGTGGGTGCTGTGGTTTTAAGGTAAAGATACAATTTCATGAGGGCTGAAAAGAGTTTGGGTTTGAGCTCCTGCTCTTACCCAAAGCTTTTCCCCATCCCCACACACCCTCACCGCTTTGCACAGACCAGCTTTGAGAGTTGTTCTGGTGGTGCATTCATTCCTGGAGCAGACATGAGAGCTGAACTCCCAGATTTTTGCAGCTGTAGTGCTGACTTCTGGCTCATGTTGGTACTGCAGATACTTGGTTTGCAGCTGCTTTAGGTGCTTCTGTGACAACAGCAGTGAAGAAATTGCAGCCATGTGTTTTGCCAGCACCCAGCTCTTCTTAAAACAGTGCTTAACCCAAAAGCCCTTCCAAAAACTTTTGGTGCAGTTAAGATGACTCTTGCACACCAACTTGTGCGCGAGTCTGTTCTCAGAAGGGCTTAGTCATTCAGCTATCACACATGCAATGAAAGGAGCCCCTTTTTTATTCCCTAACTTATCATTTCTCCCCTGCTTGCACCCCAAGCCTGTCCGGAGGGATACTTTGGTGCAGGCTGCCAGGAGCGCTGTGACTGCAGGGACAAAGGGCTGTGCCACCCCATCACCGGCGCCTGCCACTGCTCCCCCGGATGGAGGGGCCAGCGCTGCGACAAAGGTGAGACTGCATGGGGTTGGGGTTTTGGCTGCTGCAGGTTAGGGAGAGCCTGCCATGTCTCTCCTGTCCCCACAGCCTGCCTGCCCGGAGTGTTTGGGAAGAGCTGTGCTGAACGCTGTGCCTGCCCCCCTGGAGCACCCTGTGACCACATCACCGGGCAGTGCAGCTGTCCGCCAGGCTTCACCGGAGCTGCATGCGAGACACGTGGGTACCCACAGCATCAGGGATCATTCTATGGGCACAGGAATGGGCAGAGGGGTGTGAGCACGTTGCTGAGCCAGGGGACGGGGGTGGGTTTGCCGTGTCAGGGAGTTCTGCAGAAACACAATGCCCTTCTCCATGCAGCCTGCCCGCCTGGCACTTTTGGGGAGCGCTGCGCCCAACGCTGCCGTTGTGCAGGACCCAACCACGACTGCCACCCCATCACCGGTGCCTGCATCTGTGTACCAGGCCACCACGGGCCTGACTGCGAGCTGGGTGAGCCCATAGCTCCGGGTTGGTGGATGCCTTGCTCTCACCTCGCTGGGCACCATGCAATCATTGCTTTGCTGTGCAGAGTGCCCTATGGGCTGGTACGGCCCTGGCTGTGAGCGGCCATGTGAGTGCAAGAATGGGGCCTGGTGTGAGCGCACCACGGGGACGTGCCACTGCCCAGCAGGATACATTGGTGCTGACTGCAGCGTTGGTGAGTGTATGGGAATGGGGCTGGGGGGGGGGAATGGCAGCATGGTGATGGCTCCTGGTCTCCCTGCTTTGGTATACACTGTGGGAGGGCAGCTGCAGCTGATCTCATTTGCTGTCTTAGCACTGGAAACACCGTCTTGCACCATTTGTTGAGTGCCAAAATGATGTCCCCGTGACACATCATCAGCTTTTGCGTCATGCCATCTGGGTATGGCTGTCTCTCTGCTTCTCTGGCAGAGGGAAGTGCAAAAGCTCTGCCCTGCAAGCACAGCCTGCAGGCACTGCAGTGATGAAGGCAGCTGAAGGTGTCCTTCCCACCAGTGTGTCCCAGCGGCCGCTATGGTGCAGACTGTGCACAGCTGTGTGCCTGCGGGGAGGGGGCCACATGCCACCACGTCACCGGGGACTGCCTGTGCCCACCGGGAAGAGTTGGTCCCACTTGTGAGCAAGGTAACTGCGAGCTGCAGGGCACCTGCAGGGCACCCTGGCACCCTCCTGTCCCAGGAGGTCACCTGTTTCCTGCTGTACCCAGCACTGTGCCCTTGTCCTGCAGGCTGCCAACCACAGCAGTACGGGCTGGGCTGCCAGCAGACTTGCTCCTGCCAGAATGGAGGGCTGTGCAATGCCACCGATGGGTCCTGTACCTGCGGGCTGGGATGGACTGGGAAATCCTGCGAGTTAGGTAAAGCTGCTCCATGCACACAGCCCAGCCTGCTTGGTGGCTCGCTGCCCGCTGAGCTGCCCTGCTGTGCCCCACAGAGTGCCCACCTGGGAGCTTTGGTGCTGACTGCCAGCTGCGCTGTGCCTGCGGGCACAATGCCACCTGCGACCGCATCACTGGCGCCTGCCGCTGCCCCCCGGGACGTTATGGGGCCCTGTGTGAGCACGGTGAGCTGAGGGGGTGGGCAGGAGCAGGGGGCCTGTGTGTGCTGCTCCCTGTAACTGAGCAGATGCCACATGGGCTTGTTTCAGAGAGGACAGCTCTGTGCTTCTCTCTGGATGCTCCCTTCCAGGTTGTCCCCCTGGTTTCCATGGGACCGACTGCCAGCAGCACTGTGACTGTGCCCATGGAGCTGCCTGTGACCCGGCCACCGGCCACTGCCACTGCCCTGTGGGGCTGCGGGGTCCCCGCTGCCAGGAAGGTACTGCGCCCCCAGCCCCTATGTTGTGCCTCAGAACCATTTGGCACAGCTGTGCCCCTCTCCTGTCCCAAACCAGGCTGCGAGGAGGGGATGTATGGTGAGGGATGCCAGCAGCGCTGTGACTGCGTGGGAAACGTGCCCTGTGACCCCATCACGGGGCTCTGCCTCTGTCCTCCGGGAATAACCGGCCCCAAGTGTGATTCAGGTGAGGATGGGCAATGAGGTGAGCAGGGAAATGAAAGGAACGTGGGGGGGGGTGGATCAAAATACAGCCCTCAGATGGGTGCAAACATGCCTTGTTGGAGCTGATGTCTCATGGAAGAGCACTGTTCTGTGTGCATCCCATTGGAGAGAAGATCTTACCCAGACCAGAGCCTGCCCTGCCATGTTGGGGTAGCGCAGCCATCTGGTCCCCTCTGCCCCACAGAGTGTCCTGTGAGCCGCTATGGCCCCGACTGTGCCCTCACCTGCACCTGTGCCAGCAGCTCCCAGTGCAGTGCCAGGACTGGCCGCTGTCGCTGCCACCGTGGCTCCATGGGCTCCTCGTGCCAGGAAGGTGAGCCCAGCCCTGTGCTGCGCCGGCCCTGGGTGCTGCCTGCAGCACAAGGGCTGAGTGCTGTCCCCTTCTGCTCCAGCTGTGCCCGCCCAGATGCCCACCAGGTCCCCAGAGCTGCAGGGGATGGAGCGCTACGTCCTGCCTCAGCCACAGGGCCCTGCAGAAGCACACGACCCAGCTGGAGGACTTGTTCCCAAGGCACTCGAGTGACAACCAACTCATGGCAGATGGGAGCTGGCTGCTGCCTGGGCTGGATATGGGCTGTAGGACTGCTCTGCAGCTGCTGGCCCTCACTTCTGGCCGTTGGCTGCTGGGGTTGGAGGGGAAGGGGTGATATGATGCTTGAAAATAGGTATTTATTCAAAAATATTTATGGCAAACTCTACCACAGCAGTGCAGGAGCTCTGCAGAGCTGCCACCTGGAGGGGGAAGAGCTGATCAAGAACCTGCAGCACCCAATCCAGACATGGACACGTTGGCACAAAGCTGTGGGTGCCCACAGCCCTGCAGTGGTGGTGGTGCAGCACCTGGTCCTGAGTGCACAGGGATGGCCCCATCCCTCAGGGGCCAAAGAACTGCTTCCTTTCCGGATGGACTTCCTTTTAATCTGTAAATAACTTGTACTTTTTTTTACTAATTAACTTTTTCTTACTTCTTCCTTTTTTTTTTTTTTCTTTTTTTTTTTTTTTGCATTAGATGTGAAGAAATAATGTTAAAATAAGCACGTGGTGAAGGAAGGACCAAACTCGTATAACTGAGGTTGGGTATGAGCAGGAAGCAGGGAGGAAGGAGAGGTGGTGATGTGCCAAATACCCATGGGCTCCTGCTGTTCTTGGTGCCTATTCTCCACCCACTCAGGGCTGTGTGCTGTTGGCACGCACCTGAGCTTTCTATTTATTTCCTTGGTGGGCTGGAAAGCCTCTGAGCACGGTGCCTTTCTGAGCAGGGAATGCAGAAACTCCATTGTTCAGATCATGGTTGTTTTTTACTGGTTTTGTCTCTTAATACACCTTGCTGCTTGTTTTCACGTAGCATTTGTCTCTCTCTTAGCCTCTTGTCTCCTTCAATTTAACACCCATTTAGCACAGTTCTCATTCTTCCACAGTTGATAGAAATAAACAGACAGCCTCATTGAACTTCTTTTTGCCTTGTCTCTTCAGTTAGTTACCTGTGAATGTCACTGCAGCTCTTCTGAAGGATGGCTCCTGAGCCACATCCATCACAACCCAGCAGCAAAGACAGCTGTCAGATGAGCTTCCTGCTGACTGTTAGCAGTGGGAACACCTGGCTCCTTGGTGGGGGTCCCACTGCTGCACTTTGGGCAAGGAGGACGTTTGTCTCATTAGGATCCGAGAATTTATTGTTGGTCTCCTTCATCCTTTGGCAGTTTGATGCAAAGAGACATCAGAGCAGTGCTGCCCTGAGCATTCCCATTGCCTCCAGCACTCCTTCCATTCCAAACAGACCTGAGCTGCTCAGCGGTCACAGCCCCACTCCCTGCCCTGACCCTCAACCACTCCTTGGTGCTGAGTTGTAGGGGAAAGCCAGCTCTGCACTGAGCCAGGACGCCCTAACGCTTGGCCAAAGGCACCTGGATGCCAGGTCCCGTGTCAATTAACGGCCATCAACACTGCTGCCACAACCAGTCCCTGCCCAACAAACCCAGGAAGAATGGCTCTCCTGCTGCCTCCTGGCAGGGCTCAGTCTCCAGAGCTCGGGAGCTCCCATGGGGTCAGGCCTGGCTGTTACACATCCGTCTCGATCCGCAGCCGCTCCATCCGCCGCACGTTGCACTCCACGGCCGCACGGCTGGTGATGGGTCGAGCACAGGCCTGGGGGAACCAGCCCCGCTCGCCGTCCCGCAGCCGCTCACCCCAGCACCAGCCTGGGAGGAGAATGGGGTGTGAGCACACCTGGGAAGCACCCACGGCAAGAGGCCTCGGGGCTGCTGGAGCTCTGTCAGCCTTCCAGGCCCGGTATCCTGGGCCGTGGGCACAGAGCTCACTCCCTGTAATGCTGTAGAAGATCCACCGAGGCCGTGCCCCACCACAGCCGTGCCCCGAGGCACAGACCCCACTCACCATCCTCCTCGCCCAGCAGCAGCATCACATCAGCCTGCTGCAGGGAAATCTCATCTGCCTGCTTGGCCACGTAGGCACGGGTTATCTCCACTTGGCTCAGGTCTGCAGGGCAGGACAGAACCAGTTAAGAACATGGGATCGGCGCATCCCAGGCTGAGTGGGAGCCCACGCACGCGGCCACGCTGGCCCCTACCTCCACGGGGAGTGCTGTCAGGCTGCTCTCGCTCCCGGTGCATCAGTGCAGTGACCCAGCGTGCACGGTCACTCCTGGCAAAGGATAAACCAACATGAGCAGGAAAGGCCATGGATGGCATCCTGCTGCTGGCAGGAGAGACCTCCCCCCAGGGATGGAGGCTTTCAGGACTCACAGTGTCTCTGCTGACAGCAGCACCTCCTCCCGCCGGCCCTCGCTGTCCCTCTCCATGGCCACACGCAGCAGGTGCCCGCCTGGCCGGCCAGGAGGAGGGGATGGAGGCTCTGTGGTCTCCATCTTCTCCACTGAGATTTGGTCCAGCATGGCGTAGTTCATGACGGTGTAGCTCTCCTCACTGCAGCAGGGACAGAAGGGGCTTCTCAGAGCTTCCTCCCCGCATGGCATCGCCCCCAGGTGGGCTCTACCCGATGGCTTTGGGCCGTTCACAAGAAATGCCTCCCTCGGAGCCACAAGACGGCAGCCTCGAGGTTTCCTAAAGCTGCCTGGAGAAGCAAGATGTCAGCCCACCAGTCCTGTGCCAGAAGAAGGCCCTGAGCTGTACCTTTTCTTCTTGGTGATGATCAGGACATCATTGAAGAGGAAAAGGTGGCAGACCCTGCCGGAGCCCTTACGGAAGATTCCTCCTTCCTCAGAGGAGAGCAGGTAGAGCTCACCCCGTTTCAGCAGCCAGCGGGAGGCAGAGATCAGGGGAAAAGGCTGCAATGGAGAAAACCTGAAGGAGCATTTGTCTCATACATGGCAGGTAAAGACAACTCAGATTAGGGGGATGAAAACACCACAGCAATGGGCAGCTATTCCAGTCCACAGCCTGCTCAGCCCCACCGCCACGCACCCTCACCTTCTTCTTCCCGAACTCCAGCTGCTTCTGCAGAGTGTACAGCTGCTCTGTCCTCTCCATCGCACGAGCTCCTTCGTTGCAGTTCTTAACCAGCTGGAAAAACACAAGGGAGAATGGGTAGATGAAAGGAAGGATGGCACAAGTGTTGCTGGCGAGGGCCCCAATAAGACAAGTAAGAATTGTAGTGCACTCACCTCCATGGCAGTTCTGAGGCTGGGAAAGCACCAGTGGAAGACACAGTGGAGAGAAGGACAAAGGATGGGCCAAGGAGAAATGAAGAGAAGAGGACAAGGAGAAGGAAAAAACACCATCAAGTGAAAAAAATGGGCAAGTGAAAAGATGTGTACCATCCCACAGCTATTTGCAGTGAGAATGTCAAGTGAACTGATGTAAGAAGGAAAAATAAGAGGGCAGAAGGGCAGGCTTGGGACCAGGGCGGTGAAACAGAGTGCTGGGAGAGAGGAGAGATGGGGAGCAGGCAGCCCTCCTCACCTTGCTGATGGCTTTCAGAGCTCTGGTGGCAGCTCCATACGCTGCAGTGCATGCTTGTGTTTTTTGACAGACTGTCTAGAATGTCAAGACAAGAGGCTTTAGTGATATTGCAAGACAGAGCGATGGCGGAGCAGCTGCTGAGCTGGGATCTGTGGTCAGAGCAGAAGGCTCTGGTGGCTCAGCAAACCAACACCTGGAAGCAGTTCCCCTCTCCAGAGGTGCCAAGCAATGCTGCTGTGTGACTTACTTACATCTAACAGCAGAGGAAGCCGCGTTACTCTCTGCATAGGGAGAATGAGAAATGATATCAGTGGCAGCCCTCCACATTCTGGTTTCCTTTCAATTTGTTTCAAGGCCTCTTTAAATAAGGGGTTTGTGTTTCTGGAATGGGACAAGAAATCTCCATTAACGCTGTTTTTCAGGTATCAAGGTTTTCCAGGGGTTCCCATGCGTGAGTAGCACAGTGCAGTGCTGCCTCTGGCACTCAGCAACAGTGAGCACAGCTGGAGCAGCAGGCAATGGAAAAACAACTGGAAACATTGAGTCTATTCAAGGCTGGGGCACACCTGCACCGCCAGCACACTCTGGGATGAGCAGCCTCTGCATGCACCCCTCATACACCCCACCTGCAGGAGCTCCCTGTAAGAGCCATACTCACAGCAGCCTCTGCAGTGTCCTCTGCTGGTAGACTTCGTTGGAGCAGTAACTGATGTAGGGGTTGAAGTGCTTGGAGGCGTGCTCCTCCACAATGTCACTGATGTCGGGGATGAGGACGTTCTCCTGGTGTCGCTTCTCTAGGGCTTGGAAGAAGCTGAGGAGAGGAAGTCAGTCTCACTGCATGACTCACCAGGGCAGGACAGAGAAGATCTGCAGTTTATTGCAGCCCATCCTTCCCCCACATGCCTTTTCTGTCCCACGAGCTCGTGTCCTTCCTCCTCCCTCACACATTTACCCTCAGGGATCATGCCCCAGCTCTGGCCTTTGCTTCATCCCAAGCCTTGCCCACATCCCAGCACTGCAGGCAGGTGGTGCCTCTGCAGAAGCACAGACTGGGTGTGAGGCAGCAAAAGCCTTCTGGTTTAGGAATTAAAGAAATCAATTGTCCAGAGCAATGCACAAGCTGCACAGCTCGGGGGGTTGCCTAAAGAGAGAAACAAACCGCAATGCACTTGGCCATGAACAGGCTCTGCTCAGACCATCCCAAGACACCATGTGCTCCCCTGAGCAGAACCCCCTGAACTCTTTGCTCTGAGATGACATTTCCACGCTGTGTGTGCTTCCCATGCTACCACAGCCAGTAGGCACAGCTGCTCCACACACACAGAGCCATGCCCAGGTTGGTGGCAGGGACACACCACGTGCTCAGGGCGCACCTTGTCCCCTGCAGGGCCACCTGCATCGCCAGGGCAGCTCACAGCCCCTGCATCAAGTTCCCCTCGCCCAGCGAGCTCCATCCCTGCTGCAGGAAGAGCAAGGCCCTGCCACCCCCGCCTCGATTCTCACACAGCTGCAGTCCCTGCATCCCATCTGGGAATTCCCAGCTGGGAGCTTCCAGGAAACAGGAAAGCTCTCAGCACAGTGACGGGGAGCTCTGCAGGCATGTGACCGGCCACTGCTATTCAAAATATTACGTGCTGCTCCTGCTGACAAATCCCTCAAGCCAAAACTGACCCAGCACCGTGACTGTGCAACAACAAGGTGATGCTGCAGCACTACAGGAACGTGTGCTGGGTGAAATACAGTCAGGGGATGGATGTCTCAGCACTTCCAGGGATGCTGCCCCTCCATCAGAGTGCTGCAGAGTCTACTGTCACAATGCTTCACTCACTTGGTGCTGACAGCCAGGATGTCGCTGATGTTGGAGAAGAGGTGGTGGTGCTCTGTCTGGGTCATGGTCTCCTTCAGCTCCTCCGACTTCTTGAAGCAGCCCACCAGCACACTCAGGCTGTGCATGTAGGAGAACTCTGATGTGATGATCTCAAACATCGCCTGAAAGCAGCGAGGCAGGGAGATGCAGCACAGGAAACTGCATTATTACTGGCATAGCAAGGGTGTGAATTAAAAGCCAACTGCATCTCATTCACACCAATGATGCCCATCTGTTATTTAATAACAACTGTATGTTATTTACATTCATAATGACTGGAAAAGGCATATTCAGCATCCCCCATCCCACGCACTGCCTGGCATCAAGGACTTCTGCAGGACGTGCCCTCAGCCCTGGCACACCGTGTGCTCACCTCCTGCCTCTTGCGCTCCTCAGGCTTTATGGCCTTCAGCAAGTCCGCCTCCAGCACCTGTGGGTGAAACTCAGTGCAGAAAATGGCTCTGCTGGGCCTGCACAAGAACCGCATGGTTCTGCAGGTAGCAGAGCTGCTTCACAGGCAGGGATCACTCCGCATTAAACAGGAGGCACATCCCACAAGACCAGACCTGCTGGGAGCCCGGCGTGTCCCAGCTGGCCCCAAAGCATCCCACAGCACAGTGCTGCAGGATGAGCTGCTCCCTACTGGGTGCCAGCTCTGAATTTAAAACACGCACTGCCCTGCTGCCTTTCAATGAGCGAGGCACCTGCTTGAGCCGTAAGGGCCTACTTGCAAGGATGGATGAGCAAAGGAATAATCATTAACAGCAGCGAGGTACAGCCTGGCCCTCTCAGACCAAGCAAAAGACATAGGAAAGCAGGAGATTGGCATGTGTACCTCTGGGAGCTGGCTCCAGGTGACCTGTGCGGGCCGATAGCTCCGCACCACGATGGCAGCACCAGGCAGGGATGGCTCCTCAGGGTTGGGCTCCTCCAGCAAATCCTCATCCGACTCATGGCTGACTGAGTTCAGCCCCCTCTCACGGATTTCCTGGTACAGCTGTGGCTCTGCGTGGGGAGAGGTGCAGAGTGAGCACAGCCTCCTGCAGCCGCCTCACCCTGCTGGGACGGACTTTGCACAGCGCTGGTCAAGCAGCAGCTTGCACGTCCCCAGCAGTGTTTGCTCTGAGCAAACAGAGCCAGGAGTGTTCCAGCTGCAAGTGCGGCTGCGCCCTCCCCAGCAAGCAGGAATGCAGTGGCACACGTGCACCAAAGGGACTGGATAAGGGGGAATGCACAATGACAGCACAGGGAAAAGGCCATGGGATGAGGGCAAGCAGCACTCACGGTCCTTGAATGAGCCGCCGTGCTTCTGCACCCGCTTCCGCCCGAGGTTTTTCTGCAGGAGGAAGAAGAGGAGCTGCCGCCATGTTGCCCTGATGGCTGCAGAGCTCACACCTTGTGCCCCAGTGCCACCAGCTGCATTCAGTGCCCTCGAGAAGGGGAGCAGCCCGCACACACCGCCCTGCTCTCCCAGCCTGACTCTGAGCAGCTGTTTGCAGTGACTCAGCTCCAGCCCCGTGTTATCGGGGTGACCATCTCAGCAAGCTTGCTGCTGCTCGCTGCCATTCCCGTCTGTCTGCCCCACACCTGGACTTTGCCTGCCCGGCGCCTGGGTGCTGGCAGTGCTGCTTCACCCACGCCCATGCAGTGCCCGCAGGAGCCAGTCCTGCTTCTTGCAGAAGCAGAATCCAGGCCCTCTGTGAACCTAAGCAGCTGCTGGTGCCAGGCAGACTCCCAGGCTCAGCCAGCCCCACCAGCTCCATGCTAGCCATACAGCAACAGATGCAGGCACACAGCTCAGCCCACCCCTGTCCCCGTCACCACCAGGCTCCATCCCTGCACCAAACCCACCTTGCTTCTGCCAGGGCTGCGGGCAGGCGGAGCGCTCCCCTCCTCCAGCAGTGGTTTCAGAGTAGGCACGGTGCTCACAGGCTCCATCTCTGTGCCCGTGCCCTTCATGGCTGCACGGTACGACATGCTCCTCAGGTTGCGTTTGAGCATCCCTCCTCCATCCTCCTCCGTGTCCTCCTGCAGTGTGATGCTGGGGACGGACGTTCGCTTCTGCCCCAAGCACGCAGCATCAGGGATGGATCCAGTGCTGGGGTTCCGCGTGGGGTTCTTGGTCTTGGTGGAGACCGCCAGGCTCCGGGGGATCAGCTGCTGCGTGCCCACCTTCAGCGCAGCCGGGCTGTCGGTGCTCAGCACGATGCGGCGCGGCTCAGCCATGGGGAAGCAGCTCATGGCGGAGTCAGGATTGCGCTTGCCTGGAGGGGAGGTTGGTGCAGGGGGTCCGGATCTCAGTGGGTGGCAGCGGTACTCCAGGAGGAAGGTCTGGTCCTCGGCTGCTGGTGGGCTGCGGGACATGGCAGCGGCACAGGGAGTGGAGAGCTGTGCAAGAGACAGAGAGTCAGATGGACAGACAGGGAAGGAACGCTTTCCTCCGCTAAGGTATCCTCATACAGGCATGGCACAGCTCACTGTGCTGCACGGGGAGCCTGGCGCAGCCCGCACTGCTGTCCCTGTGGTGCTCACTCTGACCATCGCAGCACTGCTGGGGACCCCCCCTTCACTCCTTGGGCATCAATCCTGATGGACCCACAGCCCAGGGGCAAAGCGGGCTGACAGATGCTCAGCCTCAGCTCCCACGGAGTTGATGGGGGCTCTCGGTGTCCCCACAGCCCCTCAGCACTCAGCTCCATCTCTCCTCACTAGGATCTAAGCCTGCCCACCTCCTGCTGAGCCCCCGGATAAACACCACATACAGCATTCTACTGCTCCATTGCATAACTCGAGTTAAAACTCGGGTTTAATTTCTCCAAACTGAGATCCCATTGTCCGCCACGCCTGAGCTGCTCCCTTCCAAAGGCCACGCAGCAGAGAACAGCCCGGACCGGGACACATCTCCTGGCAGAGGGACAAAGCACCGCACCAACAAAACCCCTCTGATCCGACGCTTCTATTTCCCTGCGTTGGGTGGGGGACAGACGCTGGGGGCCGCCAGGAAACCCGCGGACGGGAGAAGCGCCACGTTCCGCCTTTCCCGGCTGCACGCACAGCCCCGTCCCCGCAAAGGACCCGGAAGGATTTGCAACCAGCAGTGCCACCGCAGCCCCCCAGATGCATCCCCGGATCCCCTCCCCGCCCCATACCTCGGCTGTTTGGCAGCTGCAGGCGGTGCCGAGAACCCCAGAGGCGTCCACCCCCACGAGTGAGGCGGGCGGAGCTGCGGGACGGGAGGGAAATTCCTCCGGGTGGGGGAGCGGGGGCAGCGGGGCCGCAAGGCTGGGGCTGGAGGGGACCGCTCCGCCCCGAGGGCAGCGCGGCAGCACCCCGGGGTTACGCTCGGTCCCGGTTCTGAGCCCAACTCCGGTCCCGTTTTCCCCCGGGGGTCCCCGTGCCCCTCCCGGCCACAACCCCGCACCTACCGGCGGCCCCAAAGAGAGCGCGAAGAGGGGCGGGGCCAATGGGGGCGGGGCCACGTAGGGGCGGGGCCGAGAAGGGGGCGTGGCCAAGAGCTCAGCTCACCTGCTGCTGCCGCTGCCGCCGCTGCCGCCGCTGCCATCCCCAGGTCCGCCTCTGCCGGGTGGGGGTGATGATGGACGATGGACAAAATGAGATGCAAATCAGATTTAAAAAGGAAAGAAAGAAGAAAAAAAATAGAGATGTTTGCTGCTTTGCGACGTTTCAACAAGAATCCGATCCCCCAGACAGGTGCTGTGGGTACCACACTGCCGGAAGGCACTTCACCAGCAGGCAGCATCACTGTCAGCTATTCCCCCATTGCTTCTAAAGGCAGCTGACCAGTCTCGGGTGCAGCTGGCCCAGGCTGTGGGGATGGGAGCTGCCCAGTGCCCCCCTGGGGCTGGGGGTGTCCCCTAGTGTCCCTTTTGTCCTGGGAACCACCTTTCCCCTGACCTCCCCTTTTTGCCCCCGCTCTGATTTTGTTCCCCATAAAAAGGGAGCCTTTTTCTCCCTGCTTTACAGCAAATCTCAAATGCTCCGTAGATGACAAAGTCCCACTTGTCAGCAGTGCCCTTCTAACAGTTCCATTCCCCTCCCCAAGCCCTGCCCAACAATCACCCCATTCTCAGCACTCCCTTACCCGATGGATGCTCTCCTTCCCTGCCTGTTCCAGGAGCCACGAGGCTGCTGCGCTGCACAGAGCTCAGCTGAACCCAAACCATCCCACGAAGCACCGATGCACGGAACAAGGATCCAATCCTCCGGGCAGCACGCCGACTTCCTGAAGCAGAGAGCATTAATCAGCTTTGCAGCACACACCGTTGGCCCCAATCCCCCTCCGGCCCCATCCTTGCTTACCTTGCAGCAAAGCATCCACTGACCCCACGCCGATGCGTCGGGCGACAAACAAAGCTCACGGGACCATGGCTTATAAAAGCACACAGGTTTATTGCATATCAATCTCATGTATAAATTCATCGTAGCATTGGAAAGATTACATTTGGTATACATTCCTATTCTACAGCATTAACCTCAAAATCAGCTTTTCCTAGTCATTGTTTTAAAGGAATTTCTCTACACAAGTACATTTGTCTTTTATCACAAGCATCAAAAGGAAAATTTGCAAAAAACCGCTTCTTCAAATTATTTTCTACACTTCATCTCTCTTTTTTCATTATGCTCCCAACAAAGCGATTCCATATTAATTAATAACTGCCAACACTTCTTTTTTTTTGTTTTTTTTTTTTTGTTTTTTTTTTTTTCCTTCTTCCTGGGCAGTTGGAGGCTTCTAGCCTCAGACCAACCATCTAATCACATTTACAATAAGTGCATCTACGGGATTTGTTTCTTTTTAATAAAAATCTCACAAACAGACACCATAATGACCGCTAAACACAAGTCATGCACAGTTTACTTATAAACATAACAGAAGCAATATACAATCAAGAATGATATGGAACAAGCACCATCCTCTTTCTCAATGTTTTTTAAACATTATGTGAAAACCAGACATTTACAATTGATTTTTTTTTTAAAAAAAACAACACTATACAGCCCTAAAGGAAAAAAAAAAACCCAAACAACTAAATTATATCCGTATTGTAACAATGGGAAAAGGAATGACATCGGATGCACAGATTCATGATTCTCGCAAGCACAATATATATATGTTTTAAATTACATCTTCTGCAGGCTGGAAATGACATCAGGGCAAACACCTCTGGCTTTGAAGAAAGCAACGAGAACGTAAAATACATTGAGAATTACTGTCAGAATTACTTTGTTCACGTGTGAATTGCACATTTGGAAAAATCAAAGCTGCCTTTTTTTTTTTTTTTTTTTTTTTTTT